AAGTTTGTAATTTAATTTAAAACACTAAAAATGTATATGTAAAAATGTTTAAAATAAAATTTTAAAAGGGAGTTTGGCGGTTGCTTTGCTGAATGTCAGCTCATTATGAAGCAATCCTTTTGGGACTGACCAAGTCACATTACCAGCTCTCCATGTTGGGCAGGACCTCCCAAATTAGGAAGAGGAATGCCGGAAGCCAAGCTGACAGCGGCGCTGAGAGATCTTCACGCATGAAGACCCAGTCTCTTCCCATTTATAACATAATCTGGGGATTCTAATTTTGATCATAAACACTTAGAAAAAGAGTTCCCTCATGCCCGTTGTTAACAGTAAATTGGTTTCACGAGTCAACCATTTGATAAAAGTATGATCAAGTATTTGATAAAAATTCACAAATTAATTAAGAGCAGTTTTCAACTGCACACGCATAGGGGCACATATATACATAATATAATTGATTTTAACCTTTTTTTAATAAATTAATTATTTGTTTCTTACTCATGAGGGTGGAAGATATACTACCTCTAGTCAAAGGGAGAATATTAAATTCATTAATTTCGATTGAAGGATGTATGGCATCTTATTTGGTCCGAGTGGAGAGAATCCTTAGCAAATCATGACCCCTTCAATGCAATATTAAGAGAAATGATTAATTGGAGATGTCTTGTCCTTTTCCCTCTCATATGGATCAAATATCTGATATGGAGGGATTAACGGTTCAAAATTTCAAACAGTTTGAAACTTGAGGGAATTATTAATAAAAAGTTAAATACAAGGACCAATTCCAAAATTTGATAGTATATAAAATTATAGGTATCAATAATTAAATTTCCCCAAAATATTTTTTGTGTATATATTCTCCAAGATTTCATTGACTGTATTAAATTTTCTATATAGCACACTTTTATATTAAATAGATAGATTCTTTGACCTAGACTTTTTCTTCTTGTAACACTCATAACTCATAGCCCCGGCTGACTTTTATTGTTGATTTATAGATTTTCAACTAATTATTAGGAGCATCTCAATAAAAAAAAATCTAATAATCTAATATTTTATGTATCCTACGCAAAGGAAATCAACTAAGAGCCCACTTGAATTAGCGATAGAAAAAGTAGTTTATTTTTAATTTGAATTTTAAAAAAATTAGATTAGATAATAGTTAGATTGGGTAATACTCCTCCGATCCTTAATATAAAACCTAATTGTTAAGTTAATTTTAGTTATAAATATAAGACTTATTTCTCATATTTATTAATTTTTTTAAATTACCTCTATAGATACTCCCTCAACCATAAGAAAGTAAGTGAGGGAGGAAGAATGTTAAGAAAAATGATTATGGTGTTTTTAGGAAAATCATATTATATTTTTTTATAATTAACTAACTTACCTAACTTCTTTAATCTAATCAAATTAGTTAAATAGGTCTTATATTAAGGATCAGAGGAGTATGATTTATGTTTAGATTGATTTTTATAAATAAGTTAGTTTGTAAAAGTAGAAGTTGTTTGAATTATGCTTGAATAAGCAAGTTTAGTTTATAAAATTATCTAAATATATATACCTTTCATTAAATAATAAGCAAGTTTGTGTGTATAAAATTTTCAGGATACCAATACTTGGTGTGCATAAAAATTATTAGGTTATTCTCATCTGTTAATTTTCTAATGGGAACTTTTCCCTAATTTTTCATCAATTTTATTATTTAATTTTTTCTTTAAATATTTTTATAAACATGAAATTATTGGATTTCTATCCCGCAAAAGCTGCTTAAAAGCCCTCCAATCATAAATCCAAACTGAATCTAAGTTTTGCTAGAAATTGCAACCAACCTAAAATAAGGGAGGGATAGGATGTTTACAAATTTCTGGATATTTAAAAACCATTTGTAATAAATAGAGTATAATTATGAGTTTGAACAAATATAAGTTCATAAATTTGTTTGAAACTTTATTCCTAATCTCATGTATACTCTTACTTTACAGTGAATATAAAAGACGATTTTTCATTCGAGAATTCTTTCTCAAAAGAGAAAGGAAAATGCATTAAAAAATGAATTAGACAATAACATTTGACAGCTCAAGATGAATATTTTTCATATAAGAGATATGTGACCATTGAAAAAACTTATTTGACCATTTTCTAAAATTTTCATGGTGACAGAAAAATAAATAGCACCACACAAGAGAGAATAAGAGATAATAATCATTCAATGGCTCAGGTAAAGAGAAAGGGGGAGACACCCCCTATTTACAGGGTTCGAGTGACCACCATTTAGGAAGAGGCAATCTCACCCATTAATTGCATGATAATATTCAGATTGTTTTTAATTTACATTGGTAATTAATGTCTGATTGATTTTTTGGTCAATCATTCCTTGCCCCTTAGTTTTCTATTAAGAGTTAATGGAAATTCATTTCCTCGATTAACTAGGATTTGTTTGATCAAGAAGATCATTCTCCATTCTGATCAAATAATCAGGCCCATCAAAGGTGAATGTAGACTCAAAATCCAACACAAAAAATTGTATTTATATCATATTGGTCAATATAACTGGTACAGATAAAAACTAGTTGTTTTGCCCAAAATTATACCAAAAAAATTAAGATTAGAGTCAAAATTATACTATTAAAAAGATCATAGACAAAATAGCACTTGAAAAATACAATCAAGATCAAGATTACGCATTAAATCTTTTTCTTTTAAAAAACTGTTCAACCTCTCACTAGAGACTAGAGACCATGCAGACGGCCGACCACGGCTAGTGATTAGCCGCTAGCATGGTGGCTGCCTGCAGGAGGATTTTTTTTTTTTTGAGAAACTTTTTTGGCCAAAGGAGAGAAATCTTCCTAGGAAAGTTACAGATGTGGAATTTGATCCCACCACTAATAGTCATTTGGGCCAACAAAACTGGTTACTTTTATTTTTGTTGGCTCAAATGACTATTGGGTAGTAAGATCAAATCCCAGCTCCATCACTTTCTTAAAAAAAATTTCTCCTCTTTTAGTTGAAGAAAAAATTTTCCCTCACCAACAGCCACCATTAGCTGTTGGCAGAGGATTGAATCTTTTTTTCCCAAAAAAAAAAAGAAAGGAGTATTTTTGTTATTTTTTTAAAATTTCAAAATATCGATTTGGATTTACTTTAGTTCTTGTCATTTTGAAATATTGGGTATCTAAATTGAAATATCTTTCTTTATCTATCTTTCTTCTCATATTTAATGTCATTCTTTTTAAAAATTTTCTTCTTTTGTTATTGTCTTTTTCCTTCCCTCTCGTTCCTTTTTTTTGTCTTTTTTTCTTCTCTCTACTTGCTTCTTTATTGACTTTTTCCCTCTTTTTCTCATACAGTAGAAGAGTAATTTTTTTCTCTAAAGAACTTTAAAATAACTTTCACGTTGAAACAGCTTTTAGCTTGAATTCCATCATATTGCTCATCCACACAAGGCCCAATCTTCACATTTCCCTCCACCTCACATTTTACACTTTCAGTCGCACATTCTTTCCTCCGAACGTTGATACAAACAAGATAACTTTAGGAGGATATATGTGCCTAGAAATTTTTCTTTTGAAGTTAATACGTTAAATACTGAGGTGGACATGTTAAGAATATAAAATTTGAAAATTTAACTAATGACGCGTTAGACACAGTTAATGTGTTAAAATTTCAAACAATTTGACATATTAGGGAATTATTAAAAAAGAAAAAGTAAAATACAAGGACCAATTCCAAACCTTGAAATACAAAATTATAGGTATCTATAATTCCAAACCTTGATATATAAATAGGTACCTAAAAAATAATTATTCTATATAGTACATCTTTTTAGATTGAGTAGACAAATTCAATTCGTTGACCTAGACTTCTTCTACACGAGACAATACACAACTCATAAGGAAGGACAACTAATAACGTTGATTTATAGATTTTCAATTAATGCTTAGGGCGCTACCCAATCAAAATTATAATTTAATATTATGCGTATTGTGGAACATAACACAAAGGAAATCATCTGAATTTTGTTTCTAAATATAAGTGGCAAGAAAATATTATTATTAATATATGCACTATTTTTTATATTTAAAAAACAAATGGTAATTAAATAACCACGGAGGTAGGGGGTAGCTGGCATATAATATTGTAGAAAACGCATATAGCATAAATGATGACTATGAAGAAGATTAATGTAAACAGTATAAGCACAATTGTTAGTACTATTTAACCTAAAATGATTAAAATTTAAGCCAAACAAATATAATTTTCCACCCAAAACATTGCACAACATAGACAATTTTATGACTAATGGCTTATATGCTTTGGTCAATGGCTTTATACCACACGTTACATTTTCATAACGAAAGATTTTGAGTTATTCGTATAGGGAGGGATTATCCACAGCTGACTACTTAGCTAATTAGCTGCACAACATGGTTAGTAATTTTACCATCTTTGATCAATCCCCACCTCTAATCCAGGAGGCAGATAGTGACGAGAGAGGCTGGAAATTTTTTAATAGTATTTGTATTTTGTCTTATTGCAGTTGATTTCAAAGATTACAGTTTTCATTTTAAAAAATAAAGATTTTTGGTAAAATCAAACAGAAAACTAACAATGACAAGAAAAACCGCAAGTTACACGCATTGACTATGAAAATTAGATATACATAATATATAGCTTTGGCTAATTGGTTCTATACCATACGTCACAATAATGCATTTTTGGTATGGCTGCTTACGTTAGTTTATTGTTGTCGTAAAGTAAGGTTTTGTGAAAAATAATCAAAGCAAATTTTTGGTCAAAGGCTTTACAAACTAATAAAGCACTGAAACTATTTTCTTCCTTGTGAGCAGACCAGTTTGATAGACCACGTCAATCAGAATAGAATCTTCGTTAGTCTATAATAGTAATATAAGAACTCCTCCAATAAATTTATATATGTCAAAGATGACTACGTCATAGCTCAATGAGTGTATATAAGAGGACATAATATGCGGTCTTATACGCAGAAAAAAACACTAGTGTGAGATACTAAATAAAATCATGGGGTCTTCAAGGTTGCTGGTATTGTTGATTTCTATGTTTGTGTTACTTTCGGTTTCATCTTGTTCCTCATCATTCCACATTCCAGAACATTTCACCCAATGTCTTAAGGCAAATTCTCCGAATCCAATCCCATTTTCCACCACATTTTTCACCCCTGAGGATGCTTCTTTCACTTCAGTTCTTGAATCCACAGCTCAAAATCTAAGGTACTTGCTGCCTTCAGTGCAAAAACCTGAATTCATATTCACTCCGTTAGAGGATTCTCATGTTCAAGCTGCTGTTATATGTGCAAAAGAGCTCAAAATCCATGTGAGGCTACGTAGTGGAGGTCATGACTATGAAGGACTTTCTTATGTTTCTCTCATTGAGAAGCCTTTCATGATCATAGATCTCGCCAAGCTTCGTGCCATCCACATCGATATAGCACGAAACACAGCTTGGGTTCAAGCCGGCGCAACGCTCGGAGAACTTTACTACAGAATTTCTGAGAAAAGCCCAATCCATGGCTTTCCTGCAGGCGTTTGCCCAAGTGTAGGAATTGGTGGTCATATTACAGGAGGTGCATATGGCACTATGACCAGAAAGTATGGACTCGGCGCCGACAACGTCATCGATGCACGAATCGTGGATGCTAACGGCAAGATTCTTGACAGAGCAGCCATGGGAGAGGATTTATTTTGGGCTATTAGAGGTGGAGGAGGTGGAAGCTTTGGGGTTATTCTATGGTGGCGAATCAAGCTTGTTCAGGTCCCACCTATAGTGACAGTTTTTACTGTTACCAAAACCTTAGAACAACATGCAAACAGTATTCTCTATAAATGGCAGCAAGTAGCACCAGACATTGATGAGAATCTATTGATTATGGTTCAAACGCGGGCAGCAAATTCTAGTACTCCAGGCAAAAGAACTGTTTCAACTTCTTATATTGCTCTTTTCCTCGGAAGGGCAGAAAGGCTTCTCCAACTGATGAAGAATAAGTTTCCAGAGTTAGGTCTAACAAAACAGGAATGTTTAGAAACAAGTTGGATCAACTCTGTGCTTTACTTTGCTGGCTATCCAAACACCACATCCCGGAAATTCTTCTCCGAAGGGACGTCCGATTCGAAGGGTTACTTGAAGGCCAAGGCAGAGTTTATGAGGCAAGAAGTTCCTGAAACTGCTTTTAATTCCTTATGGAAAACGTTTATGGAGGAAGATGAGCCCTTGATGATTTGGGTCCCATATGGAGGAATTATGAATACAATATCAGAATCCACAACTCCATTTCCTCATAGAAATGGAACACTCTTCTTGTCCCAGTATGTAGCTAGGTGGTTTGAAGATGGAGAAGAGATCATGGAAAAGCATATGAATTGGGTAAGGAGATTCTATGATTCCATGGCTCCTTATGCTTCAAGCCTTCTAAGAGAAGCATATGTGAATTATAGAGACCTTGATTTGGGGATGAACCAGTTCAATAGTACAAGCTTCTGGAGGGCAAGCACCTGGGGATTCAAATACTTTAAGGATAATTTTGTAAGGTTGGTGAAGGTGAAGTCTAAGGTTGATCCAAGTAATTTCTTTAGACATGAGCAGAGCATCCCTCCTTTTCCAATTGGAAACTAATTAACAAGGATTGGACAAGAGAAAAAGTTTTATGGTAATTTGTGTCATTTGTGTTTGTGCATGCACATGTTTCAGATCCAAATAAGCATGCAAAATAAATTATTGGTGTTCTAAATTTACTATGTTATGTCAAGTAATAATTGTCAACCCATGTATAGTTAACTATTTTGATTATGACATAATAAAAGGATTTTTATATATTATTGATAGCGTCTCACAAGCATATTACAAATGTTTTCATCCTTCCCTCATCATTGGTTGCATTAGTTTTCTTCTTCTTCTTTCCATATTTTTTCCTATTACATTTTCTTGCTTCTTTATGGTATTTGCTTTTTCTTACAGACAAAGCAAGGGAGTGGGTGAATGGGATTCGTTTCTTTTTAACTCACCCCCTCTTTCCTCTCTCCTTTACAATTTCAAGATAAATAAAAATTCAACTCTCTTAGTTATACTGATAACCCCAAGTAAATCAGTTATATGGAGTAATGATATTGCTGCAATAAAGTCTGATCTCATGCTAAAACTAACGGAAAAAACTGATTTGAGAATTTCAAATTAAATCTAATAAATAATATTGCGCCTTCCTTATTTATGTAGGAACTACATTAAAAAAATTAATTAAATTGGTTATTTGTAACAAATATTTGTTGGCTTTCTTAAAGTATCCTATTTAATTATATATAGAGGAATTACCCATTGGTAAGAAGAGGAACCTCATATAATCAATAGAGTTATTTTATGAAAAAAAATTATAAAATTGGGAGTCAAAGTAAATTAAGATCTTATATTTAAAACCAAATTCAATTTTTAACTAGTTTTTATATTAAAGACAGGATAATATATAGAACACTTTTACATTATTCAACTGCACATATAATGGAGACATCATAAAATTAACACCGGGCCAAAAATTCGAACTCTTTATGCATCAAAATTTTGTTACCCACAAGTTCAACCTTATATTTTTCCTAATATAGTAAACATGGCTAGTTTTAAACTTTTTATAAATCAAAATTTCGTCACTCAATTTTATTAAATAATGCGTCGAGACTTCACAAATTTTATTGTTGAAATTAATGTTAAGCGTTCATCAAATTAGTTTATTTTAAGTAGTTCTTAAATAAATAACTTTTGTATTCTTCATACAATTATTATTCATTTTTAGAAGCCACATTGGAATCTACCATCCCAGCGTCTGTGTGTGTGCGCGTGTGTGTTAACCAGAACTATCCCAGCTAAATTCACATTCTCATAACATGAAGCAATTTTCAGGCTTAAATAGAAGAATAAATAACGCAATTTGTTTAGTAATATCATCATATATATATATATATAGCTTTAATTAATGTTTAAATCAATACTCTATTTAATTAAAGCCTTGTTTGGTTGGTTGGAATTTCGCCAAACAAAATTATCTTTTGATTCCGTGGATTTTTTCGGACTGATCCAATCAGTTTTTAAAACCCATTCACATTCTCTTTACTATTCTTATGTATTTCCAATCTCTCCTTTATTCCCACATCGTCTATCTCAGCTAGGGGTATTCATAATGCCTGTTCACCCGGTGCGTCTACCCGAGCTCGGAGAAAAAAAGCCCAACCCGGCCAAAAAAATTGAAGCCCAAAAAAAGAAGGAAACTTTTTGGACAGGACTGATCACAGGTAGGGCTAGGTCGTGGGTAGGGTACCCTGCCCTGCCCTGCCCATTTGGCTCTCCACGAGATAAATTTATTTATTTATTTTTAATTCTTTCATACTTTCCCTTCAGCCCTAGCCCCCCTCCCAAAATCACAACTCCCCCCTCTACTCTCAGACTCAGAGTGACAGAGTCTCCACTCTCCCGACCCTCTCGCCTCTCGTCTCCCTCTCCGGCTCTCCCTCTCAGTCTCCGTCTCCTCCTCCCTCTCAGTCTCGGTCTACTCTCCCTCTCCCTCTCCGTCTCTGTCTCCCCCTCCGTCTCCCTCTCCCTCTCAGTCTCAGACTCTCAGTCTCCGTCTCCGTCTCCCTCTCAGTCTTCGTCTCCTTCTCCGTCTCCATCAACAGCAGGAACCACAGGAACCATAGCAGCAGCAGATGCAAGTGCAACCAAGTATTTTTCTGTCCTTACTTCAATTTTCTTCTTTTGTTTTTTTTCTTTTTATGCATTATAACTTGCATTTTTTGTGATCATTATTTTCTTTTTATGGCTAGGCTCCCTATATTGGTGATAGAGAATGAAATTATTGCATCTGCCATTTAAGATGATTAGATGAGGGACTCGTCTTTTCTCACGACTTCAGTGCCTAGGCAAAAAACTTACGATGTTGCAAGATGAAAAATTAGAAAGTTACAGGTGGTTTCAATAACTATTGTTTACTAATGAGTGCTGGAACTTAATCTAAACGAAAAGACCAATATGTTGATTCTGATGGTTTTTACTATCTATATTTTAAGCGGGTATTGAAATAATCAACAGTGGGACGCTGATAGTTTGATTTTATTGAAAAACTAATATTACTTAAGGCAAAAAGATAAGATCAATAAGTTGTTAAAAAATGCAACAAATCAGTTCTAAAGTTTTTCCGATCCAAATGTTGAGCTGGTGCTAATGCGAAATCAAGGCATCTAATGGAAATGAACGCAGGGACTGTCAACAAAACCTTTGGTGCTGGATAATCATTGTATTGAGCATAAAATTATGGTAAAATGTTAAGAAAAAGGAATGTACACGCGGGAGGGAATCAATTATGCTCACATTGACATAATGTTTTTCTTATTAACTTTCTTTTTCTTTCCATCTTCTACAAGAAGGAACTTCTGAGGGCTATTGATGTACGACTTAACGCAGTTAAGCAGGACTTAATCACAGCCTGCACTCATGCTTCTGCCGCTGGTTTTAATCCTGATGGTGTGTCTGAACTACAACATTTTGCAGACCAATTGATAAAGAAGAAAGTGAGAGAATAAAAGGTGATTTAATTGATAAATTGTTATATGAATTATCTTCGGTATGATCATGTGGATATAAATCTGAATGAGTATGCATATAGGGGAAGAAACAGTGTAAAGTGCATGACTAGCCATGTTGGTAAGGTGCATCTATTCATTCTTTAAAATTTAGAAGTACATTTTTTTTAATTGTTTTGTTTCTAATATGTTAAAATTATAGTTATTTTTATTTGCATTTTTTCAGGTGTTCTATCTTTTCGTGGAAATTGTGCAAAGTGATGCCGTTTGAACTTCAAAGCTTCAATTATAATATTGGAATTGTCTTGCTTTAAGTGAATTATTGATGTTATTTAATTGGATAATTGTTAAGATTTGTTTTGGATGATTTCTGTACGATTTCACTTGTTCTGGATGATTTTTGGATGATTTCACTTATTTTGGATTATTTTATGATTTTAATGTGGTAAAAATGTAGAATTATAAAATGTAATTTTTAGATGTGGATAAAAAAATTTTTTTTCCATGACATGAGGGCAGAGCATCACTCTTTACCGTAGGGGTGGAAATAGGCTAGGTTAGGCTTTAGCTAAATAGGCCTAGGCCTGTATCAGAGATCTAAAATCTGGGCCTAAACCTGAGTCTGCATGTAGGCTTTTTTTTTTTTTTTAGGCTCGAGCCTGAGCCTTCAAAAAGCCTGACAAGGTCTAAAAGCTTTTTTAAAAGCCTACTTAAAATTTAGGTATTTAAATAAGTTTAAAAGCGCATGCCTCCAAATTCATGTATAACACTTCAAACCTATTTTAAAGCTTATATTATGTCTTAAAAGTTTAGGATCTATTCTCACATACAATATAAAATAATAAGAGTCTGGTAAAGAAAAAGAATGCTTAGTGACAACAATTGTTCCAGCAGATATAAATAAGAAAAACTAATTATATGTTGACTAAGGAGATATATTTTCTAAAATCAACCAAACCCAACAAGTGGCATGTAATTAAAACTAGATTTTACCTCTTGCTTTTCTAGCAGTATTATAATATTTCATTTGGGCATCACTAAAACAATCTTGCTACAATTATTATGCTTTAGTGAACAACGTAAATCAAGAAAGAGGGAATGAGCTAACATAGGTTATCTTCAGTGATCAAAGAAAAGAAATGTAGAGGTGAAAGATTGATTGATGAAAGGGTTGCATTTGTGTGTGAATGATAGGATGTAAGACTTAGAATTATGGCTAGGTTAGTGATTTTATAAATAATTTATAAAATTAATCTAGATTATATTATATAATAGTATAAATTAAAAAAAAAAGAAAAAGAAAAAAGCTAAATAGGCTAAGCCTGTAGGCTTGTAGGCTAAGTCTTATAAAAATAGGTCTGGCCTGTTTACCTAAATAGGCCTTGCAATAGGCCTAAGCCTAAACTTGGCCTATTTACTAAATAGGCTAAGCTAGGCTTAAAATAGACTAGACCGTAGGTTCCTGATAAGAGTCTAGCCTACTTCCACCCTTTTGGCCAACAAAGCCCGCTCTACCCATGTCCTGCCCAAAATAGTTAGGGTTTCTATGAGCAGAATCAGGCATTTGCAGCCTGCACTTATTTCGGGCAGGGCATCTGGCAAGGGCACATCCCTACCCATGTGCACCACTAATCTCAGCTTACCAAACGAGGCGGTGGTGAAAAAAGACGTGTCGTTTAAGATTACAGAACTTGGAAGACATAAAGAAACTTAAGATTCGCTCAAAAATTAATTTTTAACTTGAGTTGTGTGACGTCAATCTCCGTAATCTAGGGATATAATTGCGGGAAATCAAGAGAGGATAATAGAAGATATATAAAACTTAGAAGTGATTTGTAACTTGTAAGTATCTCTATTTATTAGGTTTATCATTTAGAGCTCATCTACTGTTCAAATTTAGTTTGAATAGTCTAAATTCAAAGTTTTTAATATAATTTTTCACAAAATGATATTTTTGGGAAAAAAAAAGTGACTACTAAAATTATTTCTTTAGATTCATTAAAAAAATAGTAAAATTACAACAATTGAATTTAAACCGTTCAGATTAATAAGTATCCCATGTTCATAGAGACCTAAGGCATCTCTTATGCCCCTCTGCTCCCTCCTTACTGCTGCTTAAATTTCTCTAACTTCCCAAATGTATTTTCTTGTTTCTTTTGATAATTAAATTCTACATAAAATTAGTCATATTTTAATATATTATAAAAAAAATAGCACAGTTTTATGATTTTTCAAAGAAAACTACTCTGAATTAAAAA